ACATTTTTATTGGACAGCTTCTACAAGCCCAACATTATTCTAAGAACTCCTCAGAAAGTCTGAGGAGCATTTAACTCTGATAATAACCCAGGGTGTCTGCATTAAAAAGCTAGGGAGACACATGGACAGATCACAGGAGAAAAATGATGCACCATTTGGCTGTGGAGCCAGGAATCTCCTTCAGTGGCCAGACTCTGGTTTGCTGACTGCTCTCTGTCAGGATGCAATGAGCTCCATGGGAAAAGGAATTTTGTCGATCTTGTTCATTGTTGAAGCCTGGTGCTTCAACAGTGGTGCTCAAATAAATGCTCCTTGAATAAAAAATGAATATGAGTAACTACCTCTTCTGCTCTTACCCTTCTGTTTTCTGAGAGAGGTGTGTAGATACCACACAGACCTTATTAAAGTTGCACCCTGTCAGTGAGTCATGTAATCTCTGCTTATGAATGGACTCAGGCTGAACGACGCAGACACCATGAAGCATCCAAAAGCCCCCATGCTGGGTATTATGGTTTAAATAAGAAATATCCCCATGTCCCCAAAAGCTCTGGTATTTGAGCTCTTGGTCCCCAGGGGTAGAAAGGTTGGAGGGAAGTTGTGGAATCTTTAGGAGCTGCAGGCTTGCCTAGAGGAAGCTCTTCACCAGAAGAGGGGCTTTGGGGATTCATAGCTTTACCCCAATTTCATTCTTCCTCCCTCCCTCCTTCCTTCCTTTTCCCTCCCTCCCTCCTTCTCCCTTCCTCCCCTGTATCTGGTTGGCAGTTGAAGATGACACCTCTTAGCTTTAGGCATTTTATACAGCAACAGAAAAGTGACTGGGGCCCTGGGCATGCTCTGGTGTTGAGACAAACCCTTAGGTTCCACCAGCTACTCAACTGGCAAGGCAAATAGCTGAGTCAAAAGCACTCCAGGGTGTCTGTCTTGGGACAAGTGTGTGTTCCCAGTCTGTTTGTTTCTAAACTATGTTCCCAGTGTCATCTTGGTGCTGAGAACATACAGAATCTTATAAAACTTCAAGATACTGAATGAACAGGACTGAGCTTCTTCTGATGAGAAGACCCCAGTCATGGGGAAATGCCTTAGCTAATAAAACTAGAACCCTAGGTCGGTCCTTCTAAGGACTCTGGATTTTAAAATAGAAAAAGTGGGGCATGAAGGAAAGGATGCCAAGTATTTTATTTTGATAAGACAAATTAAAACTTACAATTTGGCCAAAGCTCCAATGATCAGTGTATCATCTCCAATGTTTTTGTTGCTAAACACCTGTTTGCCTCGACATTTATGAAAAACCCCACATCATGAGCCTTGACCTTAAAGGCAGAAAACCAGCAGAGATCACACCTCTCCAGGCCATGAGGTTTTCTCCTGGCTTCTTCTGACACCATCCAGCGGTGAGTTTCAAAAAAGCTCTGCTCTTCCCCAACACCGTGGTTTGCCATCTTCCGATTTTCTCTCGGCAGTTGCATCTGAGTTCCATAAGCTTCAAGCCCACAGGAGAGGAGCACTTGGAGGAGAGCAAAGCAGAGAGCTGAGTGCAAGCTACAGGGCATAAGTCCAGAAGCCCCGAGGACCTACCAGATCGACTTTGACGTTTTGTGTCCATTACTACAAGGTTTGGGAAAGTTCCCCTCGGACCTGAGCAGAAGGAAACTTTCCCAAACCTCTGAACTCTGAGATCCTGGCACATTGGGTACCTGGTGGTAAGTATACAGCCACTGGCCTGCAAAGCACTGGCATCACAGGGAGCCTGGGGACTAATGTTCCAGGGCTGAGTAGTTTGTGTGTGGCAGAGCACTGGAATACTAGTCGGAGCAAGGGAAAGAACGCCCTCTGAAAGAAGGAGACAGCTGGGAGTTAGGATTCCTGGGGTGCACAAAGGAGTTGGTCCAAAGCTCTGCTTTGCTTCAGGGCAACAGAGGCCCTGAAGAATGCTGGAGCCTGATAGCAGCGAAGTCAAAGGCTTCAGAGGTTTCTTCACTCACTTAGACCAGAACATCTACTAGACCCCTCCCCCCCCCCCCCCCGGGGGGGGGGGGGGTTTTGGGGAAAAAACGGGGAGGCCCCCCCCCCCCCCGGGGGGGGGGGGGGTTTTGGGGAAAAAACGGGGAGGCCCCCCCCCCCCCCGGGGGGGGGGGGGGTTTTGGGGAAAAAACGGGGAGGCCCCCCCCCCCCCCGGGGGGGGGGGGGGTTTTGGGGAAAAAACGGGGAGGCCCCCCCCCCCCCCGGGGGGGGGGGGGGTTTTGGGGAAAAAACGGGGAGGCCCCCCCCCCCCCCGGGGGGGGGGGGGGGAAGAGCACAGGAGTTCCAGCCCTCGAAGGTAAGGGGGCCTTGAGTAAGCCTAATCCCCCTGCAGCCTGCACCCATTGTGTTAAGTTCTCTTCTGGCGGTAGATAGCTCTTGAATTGTGGATAGCTCTTGGGTTCCAACTTAGGGCTAGACTTAAGAGGACTGCAGAAGAGAACCATCTACAAGAGGAGGAAGCAAAACGACAAGAATTGAAAGAGGGCACTCTCCAGTCCCAAACTGCTCCAGGGCAAGTAGATGGATTGGCATAGAAGCCAGCTGAGAATAGAAGGAGGGTCCCAGAATTGTGTCAGATCCCTCATTAAGCAATTTCTGAGATTCCTCATGGAATTAACCTAAACTTCCAGGTGTGGCTGATGAGCCCTCACTCTGCAAACCTGGTGGTTTTTCTCACTTTTCTCCAAAGCAACTGCCATCACCCAGTAGAATTAGAATTAGAATCAGTGGATCTCAGACTCCTTACTAAACAGGAGTTGATTTCTGCGCTTTGAAATCTTTAAGTATTTCTGCTTCCAGAAACTCTGGTGGTGTGCGCGTGTGGAGAAGGCCAGGAGGAAGAGAAAAGGAGAGGACAGAAGAGACGCTGGCCGTGAAAGGGCAGAGGCTCCTGAGATCAGGTCACAGCTGTGAAGGGACACAAAGGTGGTGCCCTACTCTACACTGAAAGGTGGCCTCCGAGGCTGGGGGTAGGAGTTCATTCCGGGGAGCAGGGGCTCCAGCTGAGACTAAGGAAACCCAGACCAAGATCAGGTTTCTCGTGTGATTAGCCCTAATCTGTAAAATGGGAATAATGTCCAGCCATTATTCCCTGTGAACAGCAGAACTAAAGTCCAGAAATCCCCCTAGCCTTTGTAATTATAGGAAGCAGAACTAGGTTCTCCCCCTTCAAACACAACACACTACAATTATTTTTTTAAAGGCCCTCCCTTCCTGCCTCCTCCCCCGACTCGCAGCTTCGGGTAGATGACTACGTTGTGCGCGTTTCTGGCCTGTCCTCCTCCCGGGAGAGGCTGGTGCAAAAGCCAATAAGCCTGGAACACACTCAGGTCCTTCAGGACCCGGGACAATAGTTTCCATTTAATAAATATTTCCCCCAAGGGCATTTCACATCGGCCAGGCAATTATTCAAAGGAAACAGCCTCGCAGTTTGGCTCGGCGGGTTATTTCGTCCTCTTTACCCGAAGAATGCTCACTGGACTCAAGAAACGAGCCCCCATCCTCGCTAGGTGGGGAAAGGCACCCTGGAAAAAATCCACCCTAGTTGAGAGGATACAGCCTGAGGCTCCCGGCTGCAAGCGCCAAAGGGGCACCAGGAAGGTTCCCCACGGCCCGCCTACCCGCTGTCTTTCCAGTTTGGACGGTTAAGGACAGCTGGGAGTTTTAAATTACCAAAAAAAAAAAAAATGACAAAATAAGTAAGAATCAGAATGGATCCTGTCTACCACACAGCTCTCAAAGCGAAGAGTCCTAGTGTTAAGGGCCCCCAGTATGAAGAGTTGTAGTTTCAGAGGCTCGCCAATCAGGACTGGAAACCTCTGCAACCCTCAGCACGAAGCATCCAGAGTCGGAGAGCTTTGCTCGAGACCCTCAGGGGCCCAGAACTGCTCCGTGGGAGCATCCTGGGGAGGAGTGTCCCCTCTGCCCCCCCCCCGGTCTGGAAGAAGGATACTAAAGCAGTGCAGAGGTTCTGGCGCGAAAAGTTTATTTTGCTTTTTGCCCTGAGTTTGATGTATTATTTTTCTCTCCCAGGGATCATTGACAAGTGTGTGTTGGGGGTGGGGGCTGTCTTCTCTTTTGGTGACGAGGCTGTCCTATTTATCTACATGAGCTCTGGGCTTGCTGCCTTTGCGGACTGTTCCCTGGATCTTTGTGTTAGAAGCACCAGTTCTCCTTTGAACAACTGGGGATGAAAACAGGGGACACGAAGAGTTTTAATTTTTACCAGAGACAATATAATAAGCCCGGGTCCCCAGCCCTGAACTAGTTTCTCTGTTCGGCGATGTCTCTGTCCCTCATACCTCTCCCCGCCCCCATCAGGGACGCTCTGGTTTCCACTACTCGCGAGTTGGCAGGTGCGCCCCCCCCCCCCGCCGCCTTCCCTGCTGCTGATTGGCGCCCAGGTTGGGGAGTCGCCGCCCCGCGCTTATGTCAGAGTGCGTGCGGTCCCGGCCCACCTCGCCTTTGAACTTCGCCGCTTTTGGCTGCAGTTCACTAGCCTCCCGCATTCTCAGCCAGGTGCGGTGCTAAGCAAAGCAGCGCCTGGAAAGCCACGGGAGGGGGGAGCCACGGCCGGAGAAGCCAGGGGAAAGACGGGAAGGAGAGAAGGCGAAGGTGAAGAGGGAGAGAAGGAGGAGCCTCCTGCCCTCGCCAGAAAATTACCTAGCCACTTAATCCCAAGACTCTGGCACCTGGGCCCCAATCGCTGGTGCCCACAGACTCCAGGCCGAACGCCCCCTTATCCCCGCTGCCCTTCATACCCTTCGGCCCCTTGGGGGCTGCCTGGGTGCTGGTACTGGCATGATCAGTTGAAAACTTTGCAGGGTCAGTTCTTCTCTCTGACTCCCCCTCTGTGGCTTCGAGACGAGGGGAGTTCAGAGTTCCGAGCTCAGGACGGACAGAAAGACAGACGGCCAACCGCGCCCAAGCTCGCCCGCAGAGCCCCTGCATTCCCCACCCCCGCCCGCCTTGCCGGGACCATGTCCAAACCTTCAGATCACATCAAGAGGCCCATGAATGCCTTCATGGTATGGTCCCGGGGCCAGCGGCGCAAGATGGCCCAGGAAAACCCCAAGATGCACAACTCGGAGATCAGCAAACGCCTAGGCGCCGAATGGAAGCTCCTGTCCGAGGCAGAGAAGCGGCCTTACATCGACGAAGCCAAACGGCTGCGCGCCCAGCACATGAAGGAACACCCAGACTACAAGTACCGGCCAAGGCGCAAGCCCAAGAACCTACTCAAGAAAGACAGGTATGTCTTCCCCCTGCCCTACCTGGGCGACACGGACCCGGGGCTTCCGACGGCCTTCTGAGCGCGCCCGAGAAAGCCCGGGCCTTCTTGCCGCCGGCCTCGGCGCCTTACTCCCTGCTGGACCCTGCGCAGTTTAGCTCCAGTGCCATTCAGAAGATGGGTGAAGTGCCCCACACGTTGGCCACCAGCGCGCTGCCCTACGCGTCCACCCTGGGCTATCAGAACGGCGCCTTCGGCAGTCTCAGCTGCCCCAGCCAGCACACGCACACGCACCCGTCCCCCACCAACCCGGGCTATGTGGTGCCCTGTAACTGTACTGCCTGGTCTGCCTCCACCCTGCAACCCCCTGTGGCCTACATCCTCTTCCCAGGCATGACCAAGACTGGCATAGACCCTTATTCGTCAGCCCACGCTACGGCCATGTAACCCCCAGCTTGGCCCGGACCTGAAGGGTGGCATGGAAGCAGAGATCTGCATCCTTTCCCTTGCACCTAGTCTGGCCTGCAGATGTCTATGGGTCAGGCCGCTGCCCCTTGCCCACCCCAGACTCTGCCTCTCTCTTCCAGGGGGAAGGGAGGGGCCATCCTCCTGGACCCAAGGCACAGACTCGTGCCCGAAATTTCCAAACATTAAGACAGCTACACATCTGCCCCTCTCCCGACTCTCCCAAAGCAAGTCTCCGACTGTAACCCTTTTGGACAAAAAAGTAGGCAGTTTTGCTTTTATTTAAGTCCCCTCACTCTCCTTGGATAGGCTTTGGACTCGGAACTCCCAGATCCTGGTATTATATCTAGAATATGCGTATATATATAATATATATTTTTCCTTTCCCACTGAAGAAAATAGCTGAATCTCGGTTCTGTGCCGTCAGACACGGCTAGGCACCATTTGCTCTTCCTGTGTGGGGGGGAGAAAGGCTTAAAAGTTTAAAACTTAAGGAAGGGAAACCTTTCTGTTTAAAACCATACTGTGGTCGTGTTTGCTTCGATAAAGAGAAAACAAAACGGACCCACATGGCTTTCCACTTTGTGTAACGCAGTACTCCTAGACACCTAAGTTTACTTTTAGACAGAATGTCAGGTTATGAAGTCAGGAAGTAGAAAGTGAACGAAAACTTCAAATAATAAAAACATCCTACATGGTCATAAATGTTTTGACAATGTCTTGGAAATGTACCTAGAAGGATTTTACCTCGTTCCTCTGTTCATTTGTTGAACAAAGACGTTTTGAATAAAGACAATCTGTCATTGCAAAAAGTAACCTTTGATGTGCATAAAATCAAGTTAGGAGACAGTGCCAGGAGAGTCTTCCTCACGTTCCTAGAGGGGCTGAGGCAGGGAAGGCCAGGCGGTCGTGCCCTGGCAGAACCTGATGGCCTGTGACCTGTAGAGGGGCCTTGAGTCTGGGATCTGTCTGGATTGCTCCATGATAACCTGAGGTTTGCCTTTTGAATCTTGACAAAGGTATCAATCCCACGATACCATGCCTTCCCCACAATCTTTATAAAGCGGGTCAAATCATTTCCAGCAGTGAATGTACTCAAACAAAGGTGGAATCTCTTGAGTTCTGTGTGGGTTTGCTTTTTTTAAAACTATACTCCAAAGAGTGAAAGTAGCAGTCTTGACGGGAACAAGTTCTTGCAGTATTGGAGCAGACTGCAGCTCCCCTGAGAATCTGGGACCCCAGACTAAGTTCCTAAGTGGTTTTTGGTTTGTTTTTCCCCCCCTTGGGGGAAGGGGTTGGGAAAAGAGAAAGAAGAGAAGGAAGTGTTGTCATGCCTCAGGCAGAGTTCTTAAAACACAACTTTTATAAAGCGAGTGGGGTCCTTCTCTTCCCCTCTGTGTTTGCTTGTGTGTGCCTAGGCTTTGCTGATGCTACCTAGCCAGCGCAACAGCTCTTCAGAGTTTGCTGTCTAATTGGAAAGGTGCTTCTCACCGCCGCCGGTATCCCCAAATCCGCTGCCCCTCGTTTCTCAACCGGCAGTATGCTTCCCTTCACCCCAGGCTTTGCTTTAGTGCCTGGAAGGGATGGGGCTCAAGGCCTTTCCACTGCTGTTGAGGGATTTGTGAGCGCCCCCCTCACCCCCAGTCTCCAAAGGACTTGGTAGCCAGAGGTGGGAGAGAAACGTTGTCAACAGTCACCAAAGCCAAAACCCTCGGATTAGCATATTGTCCGCAAAACAATTAGAAGTGTTTGAGGTGCTATTTGGAGCCTATTCATCCGAGCCCCTTTGTCAAGGGGGGATTTTCATTATTAAAAAAAATAAGTTAGCAGTTGTCCATCTGGCTGAGCTGAATAGCAAAGTGATTCGTGTTGTATATGCTTTTCTCATTAAGAGCTCTTTTGAGACCAATGTTAGAATTAAATGGTATTACACAATTAACATACAAGGCCGCTGAATAGGACAGGACGCCTATAAATAATAGATAGATAAATAAATGAACGTTCAGGCTAAGGTAAACAAAGGCGGGCTGGGGGAGGTGTGGAAGAGGCCAGGCAGGCTGAGCCACGCTTACTTAGCATCACAAAACCCTCTTACAAATCGAGACAATTAGGAAGTGACGAGCCTCTGGTGGCCGTCGGGTCTAGGGACTCCGGGTGCGTAGGGAAGGTCCCTCCTCCCGCCCCCTAGGAAGCTCAGGAGGCCTAGGACGCTGGCAAGGCTTCCGTTGTTTGATCTAACCCCAACTGACAGTCCTGTCAGGCTCCCTGCTCTCCTTCATAGCTCAGTGTCCCTTAACATCTCCCAAGATGAAGCGTACAGGGGTCTGGTGTTTCCTCGCAAAGCCCAGAGCAGGAGCGCCCAGACTAGGGAGGAAGCCAGGCACGTGGCCCCGTTAAGATGCCCAGCTGATTGTGAAGGGAGGTTAGATTGCAAAGGGGCATCAAGCGGGGTTGAGCGACGAAAGCCTCGGGACACAAATATTAAAACAAATAAGCAGCCCAAAAATTAGAAAGCAAGGTTCCATCCAGACTGCACTCGGCCTTGGGACTCTCCCGGAGACCAAAGTGAGCTGGTACCGACTGGAGTCTGGGGTCCAGCACAGGGCCACCGAAATCTCTTTCCAGCTCCCTCAGCGGAAACCAAAGTCCTGGGGCAGCCACAGACCAGGCTCGGGACATTTCTTCCCTGGACACTTTGCTTTCTTAGTAGACTGCCTGCCTTCCTCCGACCCAGGCCCAGTCTGGCCTCTAGGGCCTGCGGCAGTTTCTTCGCCCGGGCCAAGGGCCGCAGAGCATTGGTTGCAAAGGTACGCGGTCACAACTCGCCCCAAAAGCCTAAATCCTGCTTGTCATGCAGCTGACAGGGGTCCGGTTACAGACTTTAAAGTCTGCCGCAGACAAAAAGGAATCCCCTGGGTGAGGGTGTGCGTGTGTATGTGTGTGTGTGTGTGTGTGTGTGTGTGTGTGTGTGTGTGTGTGTAGGGGGTGGGTGGGGGGGGAGCAGTCTCAGTCAAACCTGTTTGCTCACAACTGTCTCTTTCTTTCAAGAAAAGCATTAAAGCAAACCTGTAGGGAAGGAGCTCCCCACCCGCCCAGAGTGCAGGACAGTCGCTTCTCCCGGCGCCACGCACTGCAAAAAGCAGCCTGGAGATCCCCCGCCACGCACTTTGCGGGTCCGCAGAGCCCGAACTCCTGCTGCGTGCGGCAGTCCCGCACCCTGAGGGAGGAGTGCCTGCCACCTGCTCTGCGCTGGGGACCGGTCCCCGCAACCCGGGAGCACTGCTCCTTCCCTAGTGCAGCCCGATCCTCTTTCCAGCAGAGGCGAACCGGGTAAAGACCCTGGCCTTCCTGCAGGTGCCACTGCTGGGAACCTTTTCCCCAAAATTGATCCTGAGTCGCGCATCCTGAGTGTACCCACAGCTCTTCTGCTACTGTTTTCTGGGACCTGGGAGGACTGAACCCTGTGCCCTCCGGATGGCAGCTAACGGCGCCAGCTAGTTCGGGTTTTAGCTAGGTTTTAATTCTTAAATTTTGGCGGTGGTCCGTCTCAGGGGTTCACTGGTCCAGGTTTTTGAGAGATTGGCATGTTGCCTCACTTTAGTTTCTGGCCTCCTTCACAAAACTTCGGGGTTTGTTTTGTTTGTTTCTCGTTTCCCCGTATTTGGGTCTTACTCCCCAAACTTTTATTCCCTTCCAGTTTCTTACGCTTCGTATTTAAGGGTCAGTTTTCTTGCGTCGTCTAACTTTATAGCTGGAGGAGGCCAGCTACTTCTAGTAAATCGCACTGAGTCGTGAGTGACTGACATTTGAGACTCCTTCGGGTTTGCGGTTTTTAAAGCCACCTAACCTCCGGGAAGCCGCACTGATGCTAAGAAGGGTGGTAATTCGGTCCAGGTAGCGCCTCGGGACTTTCATCGCGCCACCTGCAGAAGCTCTTCCTGGCCCCGCAGGTTCTCAGGAGAGAGAACGTGCTGCCAGAGCCGGGAAAACTTGGCAAGCGGTGGAGCCAGCTCCGCCTTGGCGGATTACCGTTCCCTTCTGCCTCTTTTCGGTTCAATCCCTGTCACCATTGTCCAAGCGGACAATGAATTTCAAGACACTTAAATTCGCATATCAAGTAATTCACAAGATTCGTGTTAAGAATTCCTAGCTCTATTTGCCTTTGCCAGTTGGCTGGTGTGTAGGAGAAAGGCGAGGCGGGGGGGGGGCGTTCACATTTGGGTGTTTTAGGTGCGGGGCAGGACCTCGGGGCTTGCTTGCTTGCCCCCCCCCCCCCAGTTTCGGTGCGCCCGGGACGGTCAATGGGAGTGCTGCTTGGGCTTCTTCCCTCGTGGTTCCTGGATGGGGCGTCTTGAACCAGAACCTGACGCCTTGACGTTGAGCTTTAGCCGAGAAATTAAGAAAATGATGAAGTTGAGGCAGGCAAGGGGGCGCTAGAAATCCAGTGGAGTGGACAAGGATCTGGAGACTGCCAGCTGCCCTCCGGCGGCCCCCGCTGTGTGCCTGCGGGACTCCGAACCCTGCCAAGTACCCGCGGAGATTCCTGGAAGCTACACTAATGGGGTGTTAAAATGAGGCCCGAAGGCAAGCAAAAGGAAGGGTTCGTCACTGGACTAGACCAGCCCCAGGCTCTCCTTGTGTCTAGGCTTCCCGGGGAGCGAATGGTGTCCCCGAAAGCAGAAGGGGCCGCAAGCCCAGGGTATCCCTAGGCTACCTTCCCAAAATGTCCACCCCCTTTTCTCCGATCTTGCCCCGACCCCAAAGACCCCAAACTCCCAGCGCAAGTTAGGAAAAGGAGCCAAAAGCCAGGCGGTACAAGGTGACAGGAGTGCGCAAGTTTTCTCTTTACTACGAAGTGAGGGCCTTGCGCTTCCGCGGTGGCCAGTCTCGTTTTCCTAGTTTTTAAGATATGGTCTGGAAAAGAAGTAATGCCACATCACCCAGCCCAACCATGACAAGGACTCGGGGACACCTCAGCAAAA